TGGCTCGTATCCAGCATCTGTAGTTGTTGGTGATTTCAACAACGACACTCAACTAGATATCGTTGTCGCCAATACGAATAGCAATGATGTGAGTGTCCTTCTTGGAAATGGAAATGGTTCTTTTGAAAATCAAACAATGTACTCAGCTGGCTCTTGGCCAGAATCTGTAGTTGTTGGTGATTTCAACAACGACATTCGGTTAGATATCGTTGTCACTAATTCTGTGAGCAATGATGTGAATGTCCTTCTTGGCTATAACAATATAGTTTTTGTAAAGCAAATGATACTGGAAACTGGAAATAATTCTCGACCACAGTCTTTAGTAATTAGCGATTTTAATAATGATGGTCTAATGGATATTGGCCTCGTGAATTCACGTGCGCACAATATTGGTATTTTTCTTGGATATGGAGATATCTCTTTTGGAAATCAAATCACATATTCAACTTATCCATATTTATATCCATGCTCTATGGCTGTCGGTGATTTCAACAATGATACTCGAGTGGATATCGTCTTTGCTAGTTGTGAGTCTGACAGTGTTGGTATTGTTCTTGGATATGAGAATGGCTCTTTTGGAAATCAAATGATGTATCCAACACGCTCCAATTCGTCTGGATACTCTTTAGCTGCTGAAGACATTAACAATGATACTATACTAGACATTGTCGTCGCGAATCATGATACCAATTATCTAGGTGTACTTCTTGGACAAGGCAACGGCACATTTGCAAGTATCATCTTATTTCCATTGGAGTATAGATCCCATCCATTCTCCATTGTCATTGGCGATTTCAACAATGACAGAAAACTAGATGTTGCCATCGCTAATAATGGTACTGACAGTTTAAATATTCTCTTGCAGACTTGTTAGTTTTTCTATCTCGTACTTTGTATTTTTCTATCATTCATTTACTTTGTATGCTCTCATACCTAGTAGAATCATAGTTTAAATATTCAAATGATTTTAACTGCAGAAGATGAGTGGGGAAAGGGTGTGAGTGTGGGTGAGCATGGGAATGTTGGCACTCGATTGAGAAAAATCGTGTCTATCAACTCTTTTTCTCCATGATACGTATTCGTCCAACGAGATCATTCATTGTACGTGTCTAACTGTGGAAACTATCCTGTGATGAGGTGGGTGAAAAGTGCAAAATAAGGCATTGTGATGGCTGTTAGTCAAGGAGAAAGAAATGGTCTTGCATAATTGTCATATCCTCAAGGAATCGTTGTTGATCAATTGGCCATTGTCTATGTGGCTGATGAAGCGAATGCTTGAATCATGCGTTGTCCCACAGGAGCCACACAGAGAAGTATAATTGTTGGTGGAAACGGTAGAGGATGACAATCGAAGCAACTCAATGTGCCCATCGGTTTGTCATTCGATCAACACGGTAATCTCTATGTCGTCGATTGGGAAAATCATCGAGTACAGATATTCAAAATCGAATTCAATAAGTGAAGTAAAGGACTACACTGAAAACAAAAAATGTTTTATACGAAACTAAAAAAGGGTTTTGCACTTTGTAACGAAATCGAAACCCTTCTTAGGTTTCGTAAGAAAAAGGTTTCGTACAAGACTACTTTTTTGCTAGCTTAAAAAAAGGTTTCGTACTGCGGGTTTCGTACAAATCTATTTTTCGCTAGCCTAAGAAAAGGTTTCGTACGAAGTTCCATTCTCTTACTTCTGTACTTGACTCCTTATCTACCTGTCCGATCTCTTGTTTCTATACTTATTCCCTAGACTGAAAGGCTAGGGTCTAGAAACCGAAATTCACCTGTGTCTGTCCGTCTGTCTGTCTGTCGGTAACGCGGTCAAAATGGCCATTTTTTTGGCACATGTGCCCATTTTTTTGGCACAAACGACCATTTTTTTGGCACAAGTGACCATTTTTTTGGCACAAACGGCTATTTTTTTACTAAAATTAACTAGGTAACTATGGTACAAATGAGCATATAACTATGGCACAAACGGTCATTTTTTGGTACAAACGACCACGTAACTATGGCATGGGTGACCATATAGCAACCATGGTACAAACAACTATTCCGGTAACTATGGCACAAATGACCATCTAAAGACTGATGTAAATGAACCCATAATAATCATCGATAAAATGTGTCAATGAAATAACTATAATTCGGGTAGTGGTGTAAAACCGCTTACAAAAGCATTTAATTACTGAGAGTCAGACCAAATGAGCAGTATGGATTTAAAGAAATCGTTTAAATTATTCATTATTGTAGGATTGATTGTGCAATGTTGTATCAATGAATATCTAATTTATTAATAGTTTAGAATTAATGCGCGAATTGAAACATAAAATATTGATTCATAAAACTCAAATTTTATGAATAATATAATTCATATTTTTGTACGTA